GCTAGGCTAAGTTACTGCTGGTATTTGACGGGGGTGAATTGGAGTCTCTTATAGCTACTGACAGCAAGCGTCGGGAAAATAAAAAAAGTCACTTCTGGGATTCGAACCCACCGTCTAACGGTCTGATAACCGCGAGCCTAACCACTCGGCCATCTCAGAGAAACTGTTTTTTGCTGTTCATGTTAATTTAATAAGGAGATAACAAAGTCATTCAACTTACTGCACACAATGTTGCTGTGTAAATAGTGAATGATTGAAACGTTAATCCGCCCAGGGCCGAAGTGCACCCTCACCAGCGAAAGAAAGACGGGGGTACTAAGTTTTCCAACCGGGTTCTAACACGCGTTCGGCGTGCACGCAAAGACCGCACAATTATTCTAGACTAGGCTTCATAGAATTTTATGGCTGGAATTCTTCAACTGTGCGTAAATTCCCTATACTGAGGGGTGAATTTGCGCTGAGTTTTGATTTTAGTCGGGCGCCACGCAGTTCTAAAAATCCTGTAGTTTTAAATAGGGCCTGGCGGTCTATTCGTTTATATGTCTGTGCTCAAAGTCGCAGCACAGGCGCGCTTCATGTATATGCGCGTTTGACGAGAAGCACGCTGAATACGCGTAACTAATTTTTACTCCGGCATGTATGGTCTTTGCGTACACGCAGAACGCGTGGAAGAACCCGCTTGTAACCGCCTGTCTTTCTTTTCTTTGGGGTGCAGTTCGGGGCGGTTGGTTGAATTTATAAAGATTCGCTCGTCGACCACCATCTGAAAAGGATGGGCCCGCCTGATGGCTTTGTACTGTGATTGGCCATACGCCGAGCAAGACCTGTGACTGTGAGGTTGTCGCTTCCTGTTAGCGAAACTTTTTTTTTCAGCTCAGTGATAATGTTTTAGCGCTGGCTTGGCATAGGCAAAGTGTCACGATAAAAACATGGCCTTGATACAATCACAGTGTGGTAATTTCAAACCAATAGTTGTCTTGATCAATTTTGAAAGAACGAATAAAGTGTAGTGAGAGTATTTTTCGCGATGAGGAAGAAAAAATCGAACTGATAACCGGCGCTTGTGGTAACGCATAGAGCGAGCTTGCGCACCTGGCAGATATTCACCTACAATGCCCTGCGTGTCGTTAGCTGTGACCCCATGTGAAGTGTTTCCTTCGCTAAAATCTGTGCAAGGCCATCAGCCCTTCCCAGCGCCCTCTTCGGGGGCTGGGCGATGAGCGAAGTTTGTTGATTATTTATCGGATGCATTTTTGCTATTAATATGCTCTTCCATAATTTACACGTACATGAAAATAGCATATACTACAATCTCATCACTCACACCTGTATTTCACGTTGAAAATTCTTTATGATAGTGACTGAAAAAGATGTTGACAGTTTTAGTCAGAACAAAACGATTCCCGGTGCAACCATGATACGCGATACCGCTAGCCTAGTCTTATTTCAATAAATTGTCCTAGTTTGACATGTTGCATTCTGCTAACGATTCATCACATCACATTAATCGGTTCTGCTGATCATCCAGTTAATTCCAATACGTTCAAAAGGCTGATGTAAATCCTTAAAAATAACGAAAATCTCAGTATCTTCAATCTTTTACAATTTGACACTTATTTTCATCTCAAATGAACTTTCTTTTAGACTTTGAGAGACGGCTTGCCCCTTTGCCGGAAGATGATAGGATAATGCTGGAGTAATCGGACCATAACAAGATCTGAGACAAAAACACTGATATTAACCTGTAAGTTAGACCATGTTCTGATACCCATTTTTCAGGACTGGCTCGCCAGTGCTGGAGAAAATGACAGGTCGTTTTCATAAAAGGGAAATAAGCTTCAACATTGTAGTAGGATTCTTTGGGACTGTGTATGTTACTGACGATGCATTGTTCGCCAACAATCAACACTAAGAGCCTGTTTCCAAGACTGGAGCGAGAATGAACTCACAAAAAGAACGAAGGAAAATACGTGTAAGTGTTTTTTTTTTCAATTCTAGCAGACGGTGATAAGTCCATAGGAGCAGTGTGGCATATCAGAACATCAACGGGCCGGGAACGCGCCGCAGCCTCGAGCCGTTTTGGGCAAGATCGGGACAACCTTGTTTGACGACTGGTCAAACTTGCTGGTACACCCAGAGTAGCCTACATTTTTTGCACATGTTGAAAGCGACAATTAGTCGTCACTCGAACTTACAATTACTCAACACTATGAGCTGAGGTTTTTAGGGTCCCACAGTCATGGGCGTCGCACGGTGATTTTGGGGTTGGTCTTGCCACTTGGGACGGATGAAAAATTAAACAGTACAAAGAGGGAAAGCGAAAAAGATGGGAAAAAAAGATTCAATGGGATGGAAACATCAGCCTGTTGAAAAAAAAAATCGATGCCCTCCAGCAGCTACGTTTTTATGGGGAGGGGGGGATGAGTACTTTTCCCCCGGAAAATCCTTGTGAAAAACAAAATCCTGGCGACGCATGAAACTAAATAATTACTCTTAGTATGAAAAGACTCGACGACATTAACTCTTCCATAGCCCAGGTCATTTTTAAAGCAGGTCGTTTTGTAGCTGTAATAAGTGCATGTTTTGTGAAATCAAACATATGGTCAATAGCGATAAGATTATGATTTTTGAAATTTTCAAAATAGCGGCTACCATTGTATCCAGTCAGGATTCGGGGATGATGTACACAGAAACACGTTGAAGTTGGCAGATGAAGAAAATATTCTCAAAAGGGTTTAACCTGGTACCAAATTGTATGGCATGCAAGTACCGCTTGCTAGTGCGAGTGACTAAAATCCTTTTAAAAACTCCTGTGAAAACTGCAGAGCTAATTAATAAAGCCTAACATCCTCAGTATGACTTACACAACACCAAATTGTCATCAAAAGTTAATATCTACCAAGGATTTTCAATTTCATTAACATTGCAGCTTTAAAATGGCAAGCAGGAAACACCTGTAAGTTGAGCGATTGTGTAGTTCGAAATATTTCCCGTTGAAGTGGGATTGTGGTGTAGACATGCGGGCCTATTGTTCAATACTGTAGGGTCGTATTTTTTTTTAACCCAAACCATTGCATAATCCGGAACCTGTAACCTCGATGTTTTTCACTGAGCGTAAGAAGTTACGAGGCAGCTACTACAGCGACGAGGACAACTACATTTCATGCACTCTGTGCACGCGAAGACTGCATAGTTCAAGAGTGCAAGGGCCCTTCTTGTAGGGCAGCCAGGAAACGAGCGATCAAAGTACTGTTCCAAACATTTCCCGTGGTGTTTGTACATGCATTGTTCTAAACTGTTTGATTTGTGTTTAATGCCCCCCCCCACACAATCTGGGTCCTGCTGCTACCTCGACTTTTTTCACTGTGCGTGCCAGTGTAATACGTCACGAACACAGCTACTTAGGCCTACACAAAGAAGGGAATCTCCAGGACTTCCAAAGCATTCCAAACGTTTGCAAGCGAATATTATTTTAGCCTGCGTAGTTTCATACAGAGTTCAAGCGCCTCTTCAGTGATGTAAACGAAATTGTAAAGGGGGTAGCCGTGTATATTTTTAACAGATTGATTCTAGTGATGTTCGTCAACATTTCGGGGTAGGCTCAACAGACTAATGCTCCAGGGCCATTCACAGATCTGTACTTTTTACAGTAAATTTCATTTCACGATATTTTTGTTATGATTTAAAGTCATTTTTGATTGTTGTTTTTGTTCTGGTTCATTTTTACCACTAGCTGGATTAAACTTGAGATCAAAATATTCATTATATTTCACACTTTATATCGCTGATCAGCAACTACGAGCCTCCAGCTGGACCAAGAGAGGTTGCGATTTTCTGAGCAACGGAGGCTCCTTTGGTCGGTACTGAACTTCGCTGGTTTACGAACGACTAAGAAATGCACGTGTTACGTTCGGATCGCTACCAACAAAATGAGCACCCCCCACCCATGTGGCTCTTTTCAATCGATGAGGTGGTGCTTCTGCTTGAAGTGAACACATACATGTACATGGGCGGTGAAAAAAATCAGAGTTTTGAATTTAAGAATTAAATATTATCCAATTGTTTTACAAAATAAGTTTTAAAAGATGCCCGACCTTGAAGCGCCTCTACAAACCATGGAAGCTTTGCCAAAAAAAAAAAAGAGGAAAGTGAGTAGAATCCGGAATAGCTGACTGCAGAAACTCCCCTCTGCTAGTTCAAATCGGTTAAATCTCCCTGTGAAGTGCAAAGCACTCTTCAGCAAGCAACACGAGCTGATTTTTGGAAATACGTGGATCTGATAAACCATCCTGTCGTGTCACATTACAATAACTATTTGAAACCTCGTCAGTATTTGCAAAAACGCCCTACATTCCGAGATCACCGTATTAGCTTATACCAAACTTGTATGAATAGAAGAACAATTCGAGAATGCAAATTTTCGTGTGTTTCTAGATGGGGACATTTATCTATGAGATCTTGTTTCCGAACTTCTCCCCGCAGACTGTGGTTGGATAACATAGGGAAAATCCCAAGATATGCCAGGTCATGGCTAATCAAAGTTCAATTTCCGGACAGGAGTCAATAAATACTCGCGAGTAGGGCTCCTTCTCTGAACAGATCTGCTTCAGCTTCTTCTGCCATCGAGTCGGACCAGCGCGCAGGTAATTACTTGAACTTTTTCTTTATTATCCCAGTCCTAGAAATCCAGGCACACGAAACTGACATCATTTTTATCGATTTGTAGCGATCGCGAAACACATGATAAACCAGAATCAATAAGATCGATTCTGGTGTTGTTTCAGTTAGGCTCTGGTGTGCAATTATGTACGAAAACTATGGAGAAAAAAGCATAACGAAGCATTTTCTTACCAAACTCAATTTCATGACTGTGGTCACCACAAAGCACTCGCGCATCAGGCTTATGAACAAAAGTCTCTGCCTTGAGAGCTCTTTGTACCGGAGGAGTTTTGCACCATACCTGTGAAAGAACAAAGCTTTACCAGCTTGTCTGCAAAATTCACCCACAGTTTTCAGTTGCTTTCTGCAGTGTTTTTGCTCCGTTGATGTAAGTTTTATTGCTAAATACAATGTCTAAAACCAAGTACAGTGTCTTTGGGATGCTGTCGCTCGATCAAACGTGTACCTTTGATAGGCCCGTTTGACTTTAGAGGTAAGCAACTTTCTCATACTTGGATATCCGAAGTTTAGCTGAAAGATGTTCTGCTTAAAGGACTCTGTAGGGAAGAGTGCAAGACTTACTCTCTTCACCATTGTCCCGTATCTAGGTAGACCAACAAAATACAAGATGAACTACAACGTGGTTGCCCTTCTGGTGTTAGGCGTCCTGGTGATGCCCTCCAGCGCTTGGCCGGACTGGTTTGATCGAGCCAGGGACTTTGTGAGTCAAGCCTGGCAAGGGGCTGACGACATGTACCAAGCTTACAAGTAGGAAGCAAATTTGAATTTTTAAGTACAAGTGGCAGTAACCTCAAATGGCAAGATGGAATCAACCCTATACTTATTTCTCATTCATGCCCTATGCTTTTTGAGTGCCAAATTTGTAGATACCGTGCGGTCTTGAGAAATTTCCATGAAGTTTACCGGAAAATTCTCCTTTGTGTCATTGTCTGTGCTGAGGACGTGTTACTCTCGGTCATAATTGTTACAATCTCGGTATAACCTTTGATGAGATGATCAAAACTTAGTTTGGAATGGATATGCAGTAGTGTCTGAATGATTTTCATTCCATGCTAGTTGTCAAAAAAGTCGGCAGTGCCCCAATTGAAATCATGCAGATGTGGAGACCTTTGGTCGTAGAAATAGCATGGGGCTCTGTCATGGGCAGAGCATAACATCGCGTGTACGCAGATTTTTGAAATTGGATCCGTTGCAAGGCATGACGATTTTATTCTTGTATTTTTTCCCAACAGTGACATGCGTGAGGCTAACTACATAGGTTCAGACAAGTATTTCCATGCAAGAGGCAACTACGACGCCGCTCAGAGGGGCCCTGGGGGAGCTTGGGTAGCTGAAGTCATCAGGTAAGGGCTATTTTTAGTTTGAAAAAAGATCGACGACCCCCATTATTATTTTTAGAAACTCCACACGCCATTCGCTTGTTTGCCTGCAGCTCGCTAGCACTTGGTTAGCTTGTTCCCAAACTTGCAGAAATTAACAGACGTTTGTTGCTCAATTTAAAAGAAACTTGGAGTGCTTTGGTAAAAGATCTGTCAGTAGGCCTATGAACCGGACTTAAACTACAAAAATCAATTGCCAATGAGTCGGTCAAATCAATCTTGTTTCCGAATAAGGAGTTGTACTAGATGTAAGTCCAGAAGAGGACTTAGAAATATAGAGGGCGGTGTTACATCACATTCAACCTCTATTAACCAAGATTTAAGATTTATTTCATTTTCTACAGCATAATAATCACACACGATAATAGAACTTTTAATAAATACGTAAAAATGATTGAATGATACTGCAGTACGCTTTAGAAAGGATGTTGCAGGGGGGTACCCAATGAAAGCAATGCTTGTAATAACCAAAATTGTAATAACCAAAATTATAAATAACCAAAATTCGGACCGTCAAGTTCTTGGTGTTGTTCCCAGAACCAAATCAACCTTCCGAACTTGCAACAATAAACCGCATTCTTGTCTCTTGCACATTAGTTCAACATTTTCCAATCCCTTCTTTTTAAATCCTTCAATGTGACCTCCATTTTTCTGCAGCAATGCCCGCGAAGGCTGGCAGGGTGCCAGCGGGCGGGGAGCAGAGGACACCAGAGCCGACCAGGAGGCGAACGAATGGGGCCGCAGTGGTGGGGATCCCAACATATTCCGCCCGGAAGGACTTCCAGACCGATATTAGACTCGAAGATGAACTGGCCAGCGTGGATCTCTCTAGTTTTGAGCAGTACATATACGGCTTTGTGATATTTTATACAGAAATCTTGTCGTAGGCCTTTCAAGCTTTTTTGCACACAGACACTGAGAAAGCTTTTTCATGTGTTCGGCGTTACCTGCGTATGAACTCTCTGATTACTTTGACTTAACCTCGTCATAGATTTTGTGTTTATTAATTAATTAATGAGAGACTTTGAGACGTGTGCATAAGTGCATACTACTTCTGAGCACGCACAATGCCACGAAAAAGGACAGGTATGTTTGATGCCACCATCGTCTCAAAGTCTCCCATTGGAAAGAAACCTTTTGTAGGTGTACACAAAGCATTGCGTTTTATTCAGTGAAATTTGAAAGACTCAGATCAGGACCATCAATTGTTACAGGAGTGACCTGCGGGAAGCTTTCTTGGGATTATTTAAGTGTGAAACTTTCTTCATAATACCAAAATTGTGCCTTATGAATTAAAAAAAATACTTAACTTCAAAGGCTGGTTGCGTATCTCGCCCAATAACTGTGTTAAGTTAACGTTACCATGCAATCTTTCCTCCGTTTAACGAAATAAAATTGTGCATTCCAAAAACGCAACCTGGTCTTAACTTTAGTATTTCTTACCTCCGTATATTTTTAATCTCACATCATTAAACATTTGAAGCGACTAAAAACTCAGCAAAGTATGAGCTAGGGAAAAAGCGACCGTTGTCAGCAACGTCTGGCAAGTACATGCATAACCCCCCCCCCCTTTTTATACTTTGCAGTTGGGATTGTTCGTTGACAGACGGATACGGGTATAGGGCTTCATTGGGGACCGAGGTACCCCAAAGCCAAGGGACTCTTTTACCGTTCGGTTTGGTTCTGAAATAGCGATATGTGAATTTTGTCATCCTTCATTCCCAAAGCGCGTCTACATCCCCAAATATAGCCTCATCCTTTTAGAAGGGCCCTAAAAGGTTACAGGAAGATCCCCCCGAAAAGTGGCTCGGTTCTGGATCCACTCGCAGTACTATAATTCACTCCACAGGTGACCAAGTTCAGAGTTGATCGAGAAGCCTTGAATAATTCGAATCAGGCTCAGTTGCTCGTAATACGAATCTTCCCAACAAGAAGACGGTACTTGGTATACATGTTTGATGAATCTAGGGCCTAGTGATGATCAAAGCGAAAGAGGTTAATTCTAAGAACTCGAAACCCACAATTAGGCCCAATGCTTCTCAGTCAGAAAATTAATAATGGAATTCGTCAAACTATCAACATTGAGCTTTCAGAATGATCCTGCAGGTGACGACCATTTGCCAAATATACCCAAGCACTTGCAGGTTTAAAGCATTGGCACTGCGCTCCGGGAATGCAGAAAGCAGCCCCGCCCCACACCGACTATTCCTGAAACACCAGCTTCCACGGGGCCGGCGCGACCGCCTCCCCATCCCGTGCCACACAGCCCCCATACTCTCCGGCTAAAAACTGGAACAAAAATGAGAGCAGCAGTGAAACAGGCTTATTTCCAGAATACGCGGAAATCATCTCCCCCCCCCTTCATTATTTTTTACCTTGGGGATGGGCCATTTGATTCCCCCCTCTAGCTTTGCGTTTCGATGTGGTACAACGAACACGCCTGTTTGCGCCTGAAACTCCAGAGGGCTCTATTCATGTGCACCGCGCGAAACATTGACGTGCGTGATACTTTGAGGTCGGTGTGTATCACGTAACCGCGACCGTTTGATCCTGTTTCAGCTAGAGAATGAGATTTTTGCTGCATTTAAATTTATGTAAGTGTGTCTTTCTCAGACAGATTACCTTTTTGTCAGAGGGATGGTGGTTTGCCAAAGGTTATCGCTACTAGAAACTACTACAAAAGTTATCGGTAGGACCGATGTGAAGTTAGTTCCTCGTTTGACGTTCGACATTCAAGGTTGAACAAGTAACCGTTTCATATTCGAACGTTGAATACATGTAAGTAACCATTTGACATTCAGGGTGCACACTCCTAAGAATAGTGATGTTGCGCAAAAGGGACAAAAAAAAAACAAAACCCAAAACGCACCGCGAACGTCCACATCCATTCACATGTACGCAAATTACATTGTACGTGCCTTAATTTTCACAATAATGTATAAACAAACAACTCTCTCCCACGGAGGGAACCTTGGGCGTAGGGTTCTTCGGAGCCAAACGGGTAAACGGTCAAAGAAGCCTGAGGTGTAGGCGATTGTGTGTTTTGTTTTGGCACTGTAAATATTAGAAGAGAAATACAGGTTAATGTTATGTTCTCTCTGTTTTCACCGAACTGTTCAACTCAAACGAAATCAGCCAGACGCCCCAGCCATCAACGTTTTTTTTGTGCCTTTCTTTACACTTTGGCGACCCCTTTGCCTGCATTTCAACCGGGCAAAGCCAGTTTTCCCCGGTCAAAAGGGCAAGTGAATGCCTAACCGTACTAACACTACACTGAATTTCTCAAACCAAAATAAAATACCCGAACCCCATGCCCCGCCTGGAGTTTACATCGAATCTGATGTCACTGTTCTCAATCGGAGACGACTCCTCGAGACCCGGGGGAATGGGGTCCTTTGAGGTGAAACAAACCCTGAAATGTAGGCGACGGATTTTGACGGCCGTGTCCTTATGAGAGGAAAAAACACTATTTTTTTTTTCATTATTTGCCTCGTTTCCTCGAAACAATATAATGTATATATAAGCTTGTCCTTGTGGGACAAGCATCCAACCAACAGTCGCCCCCGATGTATATCGCATTCCACGTGAATGCAACCAAGTGTACATCGGACAAACCGGCAGGAACCTCCCCACCAGACTTCAATAGCACCGTTTGCACGGCCGACGAGGAGAACATGGCAAGTCGGCCGTCGTCAAACATGCACACTTCGTGGACCACGACACCACATGGGACAATGCAGAACTCATCGCTCCCATTCAGAATTTGGTTTCCTAGAAGAATCCGAGAAGCCATCGTGATTTACGGCACAAGTGCGTCCCCCAAGATATCAGTTTGAAGCTCAGCGACATATGGCGCCCACTCTACTAGCACCCAAGACAGCCCCCACCCCTGAGCAGTAGGATCGCCTATACTGACCCGAAACCCATACCTTGCACCCACCCAAGGCGTTAGGGTCTTCTCTACCCGAAGCCATAATCCCCCCGCCCCCTTTGGCATCTCTGATCCACCACAGGATCCAACACCTTCATGCTCCAGTGCACGTGTGGCCAGTAATACAAGCCGCGAATACCGTTTCAAGCCCCACCCCATCCGGATTGCCTTTATAAACCCACCCTCCATATGAACCACAGCTTCCACATCTAACACGGAATTGGGTGTTTTATTTCGATAGCAGAAAAGTCTAGTGTGAGGCATTCATTTTTCCACTGTAGTTTCAAAGCGGGGAAGTCTACCGACGAGACAAGACTTTCGTCACAGCTGTTTTCACTATGGGAATGTCTGCCTTAAGTTTACCCTGGTTGAAATGGACGCAACGGGGTCACTAATGTGCAGATAAGCACAGTAAAAAAGTTATACTCAGTTGTGGGATTGGTGTATTTTATTTTCGAGTCTGTGAAATAATTTCATAAAAAAGGACATTTTTAGTATTAACCTCTAGTTCTATCTATTAAACGACAAGTCTTGAGTCTAGTACCCTCTCCAAAGGACAGCAAGAGTATTTTGACCGAAAAGTTGAGTCAACACTTACTCATTCTTTTAATAACCACACGTCTTCTAAGAGACTGAATCCATGCTGTACCCGAAGGGCCTATTGTACTGTACATCTCATGACTTCACCACGCAAAGCTTCAAATCAACATGTATTGGAAACAGTTTGTTTTTTGTCCCTGTTGCACTCCATAGCCTTTAAGGCGAGTGCACCCTGAATGTCAAACGGTTACTTATTCAATGTTCCAATATGGAATAGCTACTTGTTCAACATTGAATGTCAAACGTCAAACGAGGAACTAACTTCACACCGCCATCGGTAGGCCCAGGCCTTCTTTTCCCTCCTGAGCTCCATGGTCTTGGCCGATCGGGTTAGTTACTGTACATGTAACGTTAAATGCATGTTGTGCGTAACATGACATGGAAATGGATGATCACTGAACATGTATGTTGCTGAAATGAAATACTGAAGCGACGATGAAGTGAAACCAGTTTTTTTTACACTCGCACTGACACTTTTCTTATTGAAATTAAGCATCGGCCAAGTCCAGTTGATGGAAGTGTAGTCCCCTGTCCTGCATGTCCCGGGCTGGCGTGCCTGGCTCTCCTGTCCTGGCCTGGCGTGCCTGGCTCTCCTGTCCTGGCCTGGCGTGCCTGGCATAATCTTGAACCTTGTGGCACAGATTTATTGTAGGCCTTCGGCTTACTCCCTCCAGAGCTTATTAAGAATGGATCGGATGTTATTCAATGGCAAATCAACTCAGGATGGAGTGAAATAAATTTGCGCAAGGTTCAAGATTGCACTTAACATTACTAAGGCCATGTAAACAAATATAAATTGGCAATCATCCCCACCCTACTCTCCAAAATGCTTTCGTCATTTTTTTTAAATGGGGGGAGGGGGAAAAAATTACACACGAAATTATTCCCGAGCTTACCCTTCAGTCTGAGGACTCGCGCAAGACTAGTTCATGCTCAATTGGAGGCTGTTCCATCTACCGGTATCGGCCATTTGAAAAATGGAAAATCAAGCAGCCGGATAGGTACATGTAGTGGCTACCTAGATGTGTGAATTCAAGCAGCAACCAATGAATTCTGACACGGCCTAGTTCCCTGAATGTCAGATCGTGGGAATTGTCATTCAAATTTGAATCAGAATGCCATTTGTGGTGGAGTATATTGAGAGAGAAAGGAGCAGTGTCCCATTGAAGGAGTGACTTGGTATTTCACTATGTACAGACGTGTTTATGGCGGATATATTCGATGAATTCCTAATATAAAGTCCTAATATAAATACAAGGTCCCTATTATAACAAGGTAACAGACCAAGTCCCAAGGACCTCTCAATAACAGAATTCCACTATACTAGTGTCTTGCATAAACTTGTCGTCATTTAAACAAGTGGAAATTTTTTACCAAAAACAAACAAATCCCTCCCCCCTCCCTTTATGGACAAAAAAAGGATTATCACCAATTTATTGTTTTACATGGCCAAATGATATGTTTATGACTATGATGCAAGCATTGCCATGGGATTGTTGGTAATTAACCTTTGTCTAACATGCCTATATGCGTATGGTAGTGGATGGTAGTGGATATTCAGATATCCACTACCTTGAAGGGGTACAGATTTGCTTTCACTTTTGATTGGGGGGGGCAGGTGTTCGGCATGATAGCCTCCAACTTTGCCTAGGGCCAGTTTACTGGACGACCTCCATATCCTCACCCCTACACCAAAAGTAGATTGTTTCTGTTTGTGAATTTGTGGTCTCAAATGTTATTTAAGGATATGAAGACTGGCCTTAGTCTGGGGTTACTGGGACAGCAACTGAACATTTGGTGTGACAATTTCTGGGGACTTAGAACTTTTACTGCGACAAACCTTCATCTAGTTCCAGGGTAAAATTGCCATTGTGAATTTGTATCCATGGAATTTGTTGTGAATATCTTCAGAGACTTGTGCACCGTATGTTTCTTTCAGGAGCTCTTTTTAACCGATGATAGAAAAAAAAACGAAAGGAACTATGGGAAAAGCCAAGACTAAGCGATCCAGCGCCTCAGCCACTGAGACCACCCCAGGTGAGTTTAACGTATGTGTGCGTGTGTGGCAGGGAACCGACCACACCTGGGCAAAACTACATTAAAGTTGTTGAACGGAGAGAAGGAAAAAGTGGTGATGCCACACCAGTAGCATTTGTCATGGCAGTTTACGGTGGCAATTGTTACTTTTAGGACCCGGCTGCCCTCGTGACTGCATCTTTAACTGCCAAAGGTGAACAGAATTTCACATTTGATTTTCAAAAATAAAAACCTTGTTGTGCAACTGGAAACGGCTAATTTTCATTTTGAAATCTGTAGCCTGGAGACCTTCAAATCGTTTCCAAATCTGAAGTGGTCATTTCATTTATTGAAAATGCTCTTGAAGTTTTTTTTTTAATTTCTAAAAATGATTTGCCGTAGGAGGGAAAAGGAGCAAAAAGTCAGCTCAGAGAAGTGTCACCGTGGAGCGGCCTGAGCCCACAGTCTTGAATGATGACTCCACATTTGGCCGATTGGTAAAGGAAGCTGGGTATGTGTTGATAGCAGGTGACCACCCAAATCAGCTGAGTAAGTGGCCACGAAGTTACTATTCTATATTAGCACGCTATGGTACTACTGCTGTTCTATGTGTGAATTTGTACTTTCTTCAAATCCGCTAAAGTCTGACACCGGACTGTTTAGTAAGTAGCCATGAAGTTACTATTCTATATTACCACTCTATAGTTCTACTGCTGTTCTATGTGTGAATTTGTACTTTTTCAAATCCTTTAAAAATCCTACACAGACAGTTTTTAGTGGATCAATCAATTATGATTTCATCCACCAAAGTCAGATTGAAGGACTTGTGAAGACAGGGTCAGAAGTGCCTCATGTAGGTCTGCATTTACGTTTACTCTCATCATTCAACCATTGCACATCATTTGATGCTGTTGGTTTACATTTATTTCAACAGACGTCGACCAGGCTATGTTTCAGCTCAAGCTCACCAAGGCTTTGAAGCGATCCAGTGATCCAGAGCAGGTATTGGGTAATCTTACCAACCCACGTAACCCTAACGTAAATGTGCCTCCGGAATTGTTGTAGGCAAAGACTCCTGAGCTGGGCACTTGTATTTGGGTACAAGACAAGCCTTCAGAGCTTTGATGAGCGGTCAAGAGTACACTTAGCCAGCACTCGGTGCCGGATGGCCATGATAAATACAACCACACGTCACACGGCCATAATAATGGTGACCATTATGCCATATGTGGTAAAGAATTCACTGCTGTTTGACCGGAAAGTAAGCCCCGGTCTTATTCACAGTGTACAACGTACAGTTGCTAGCTAGCACTTGCCTACAGCAGTGGTGGCACATGGCACTTGTGTAATGACCTGATCTGATCTTTTGAAAACTGTGTGGTCTCGAGATACTTTGATGTCATTTGGAAGGGACCCCCTATAGGTTCAGACACGGACAGCTTTATGGAACTGAGGGACTTTCTGTCGGCAGAACCACCAGTTTTAACCTTGTTGTTTCATGTGTCACATTGCTTTTGTGCTGTTTTTCTTTGTGGTTGTGGTTTCCTGAGATGAATGGCCTGTATAACCGTGTAAGAAAACCCCATCTTTTCTGCTTCTAATCCCGTCAGATTGTAGAGGAATTCACAGCCGGAATTCAGAATCACATTGAAGATGCTGTCAGGTAAGTAGGCAAACTGATAGCTTGAGTTATTAATTAGGTTGAACAAAGCAAATGAAATGGAACGGGACATGAACCTTGGACCGCTGGAGCACTATACAGGTGCTCTACCAACTGAAGTTGGCAGTCACCTACATGTAGTGCGTATGTGTTCTTGTTCAAGATCGAAGCCACGTGCCTGTACTTGACTCACATGTACCATACTGGTATGTCTCGGAGTAAGCCTGAAGTCACAATACAAGAGGCATTCCCAGTACTGCTGACCCTAAGAAACGGCCATCGAGAATCTATCCATTTTTTGCAGTTAAAAATCCTTTGAGATTTCTGATTTTGCTTGCATTGTTCACAGGTTCAAGTACAGCTTACTGCCCACGGCCACGTCAACTGAATGTGAGAGGTACTGTATAGACAACATCTGAGGAGACTCCATTTCTGGGGGCCATTACACTCACGCACGAGTTTGAACTGAATTGCGTGCTCTTATTCTGACAGGTCACAACATCCCATTGGTCTGAAATAAATGTAATGCATGCATACCACCTGCGTGCGAACGGGATGGCCCCGCAGTAATGATTTCTATTTCTGGTCGCCAGGTCCGTCTGTATCTTACTCCGCGGAGATGCCATTCCTGCAATGGTGCCGCACTTAAACTAACGCGTTTTATTTGCACTCCTAAACTTGAGGCGCAGAGGTTTTTTTTGTCAAGTCGCTGCACCCTGTTTTCCCACAAAAAGTCCTAAACGCCTTTGCTGTGTAATCTTTACAGCGCCAGAGGTGGAAGCCAGGACAGTCTGATGCGCCTTCTCATGGGAATTGATGAACTGCAGGTATGGAGAGACATAGGGAGAAACTTTCCAATTGTCTTGTGGTCATTCCTTATCTATAGTCCCATGCACTACTAAAGTATCATGTAGCTAGAGCAAAACGTGGACTTGAAAACTGGGCCTTCAGTATGCAAGCATGCCCTCCATCTAGTGCCAAACCTTATCTTGTACCCATTTAGATTACATCAAGTCACGGTGTTATGTGAGCCCCGAGCAACAGTTTTACCAGGT